ATTTGTTGGAGTACAGTTCTTCATAGTATCCTGATGTTATCCTTTTAATTTTAGTTGGTTTTGTTGTGATATCACCCATTTCATTTCTTATTCATGTTATTTGTGTTCTCTCCCTCTTTTCCTTTGATAAATTTGCCAGTGGTTTGTCAATTTTATTAATCATTTCAAAAAACCAACTTCTGGTCTTGTTGATTTTTCTCTACTCTTTCTCTTTTCTGTTTCATTGATTTCTGCTCCAATCTTTTCTTCTGGTGACTGTAGACTTTTCTTCCTGTTCTTTTCCTAATTTGGGAAATGTTGGTGTATAGTGTTGATTTTGTCTCTTTCTTCTTTTTTTGATGTGTGTGCATTTATTGCTAGAAATTGGCCTCTGATCACTACTTTTGCTGTGTCACAAAGATTTTAGTATGTTGCATTTTCATTCTTGTTGATTCAAGGAAGTTTTTAATTTCAATTTTTATTTCTTCTCTTACGCAGCCTTTCTTAAGGAGGGTGTTGTTCAATTTCCATGTGTTACCTCTTTTTCCATTGACCTTCCTATTGTTCATTTCTAATTTGATAGCATTATGATCTGAGAAGATGGTTTGCAGTATTTCAATTTTTTTAAAGTTATGAAGGCTTGCTTTATTGCCTAACATATGTTCTTCATGAAAAATGTTCCATGTGCACTGGAAAAGAATGTATATTGTGCTGTTGTTGGGTGAAGTGCTCTGTTGATGTCTATAAGGTCAAGTTGGTGCATTGTATTGTTTAGCTCTTATGCATCTCTGTTGTGTTTCTTTCCAGTTGTTCTATCTTTCGAAGAAAGTGGTGTATTAAAATCTCCCACTATGACTGTGGAGTCATCTATTTGGCTTTTCAACTCTTTTAAAGTCTTATTTATGTATTTTGGAGCTCTTTCTTTGGGTCCATAGATATTCATGATGGTTATATCTTCTTGTTCAATTGATCCTTTAATCGTTATTTAATATCCTTACTTGCCTCATATGGTGGTTTTCTTTTAAAGTCAATTTGATCAGAAATTAATATCGCCACTCCTGCCTTTTACGGTCATCATTTGCGTGATATATCTTTTTCCAGCCTTTGATTTCAGTCTGTTTTTGTCTTTGTCTGTAAGGTGTGTCTCTTGTAGACAGCATATTGTTGGGTTTTGTTTTCTTATCCAATCTGCAACTCTTCGTCTCTTGAGTGGTGCATTTAATCTATTAACTTTCAATGTAATTATCAACAAGTATGAATTGGTTGCTGTCATTTTGGTATGTGCTTTTTCATGGTGTCCCTGGTTTCTTTGTTCCATATTATTTTCTGTGCTGAGCTCATTATGTTTGTGAATCATGTTATCATTTCCTTTG